GTATGTGATGCAGTGGACTCGGTGTGCATTTGACGAAGTGCGTCCAGAACGATGCGTCGAAATAGGAGCAAAACTAGAAGAACCTCTGAGAAGCAAACTTCTTTCCCTCCTCAAAGAGAACATCAACACTTTTGCCTAGACAGCCGAAGATATGCCGGGCATAAGCATCGACGTCACATTTCACGAGCTGAACGTGGACCCAACCTTCAAACCAATCAAGCAAAAAAGGAGGAAGCTCGGACCCGAACGAGCTAAAGCAGTTAACGACGAAGTGGAGAGATTGCTCAAAGTAGGATCAATCGCCGAGGCCAAATATCCAGACTGGCTTGCGAATCCAGTGGTTGTGAAGAAGAAGAACGGTAAGTGGCGGGTCTGTGTAGATTTCACTGACCTCAACAAGGCGTGTCCAAAAGACAGTTTCCCTCTGTCGCACATCGACCGGCTCGTCGAAGCCACTGCGGGAAATAGGCTGTTAACATTTATCGACGCATTCTCCGGCTACAACCAAATCCTGATGCATCCTGATGATCGGGAAAAAACGGCATTTATAACTGATCGCGGGATATACTGCTACAAAGTCATGCCGTTCGGACTTAAGAACGCAGGGGCAACATATCAACGGCTCGTCAATAAAATGTTCGCAGATCAGCTCGGAAAAACAATGGAGGTATACATCGACGACATGTTAGTCAAATCACTCGAAGAGAAAGATCATATCGCGGACCGACGAGAATGCTTCGAACAGTTGAACAAACACAACATGAAACTGAACCCGACGAAGTGCAGATTTGCGGTCACCTCGGGGGAGTTTCTCGGCTATCTGGTAACTCACCGAGACATCGAAGCGAATCCCAAACAGATCAAGGCATTAATCGAGATGCCCTCTCCAAGGACGAAGCGAGAAGTGCAAAGGCTTACAGGAAGGGTCGCTGCGCTAAACAGGTTCATTTCCCGCTCCACCGACAAGTGCCTGCCTTTCTACGACACCCTTCGGGGAAATAAGAAATTTGTGTGGGACGAGCGATGCAAAGCAGATTTCCATGAATTGAAGAGTTATCTGGCAAGCCCGCCGATCTTGGCGAAACCAGTTGAAGGAGAGCCTCTCTTCCTCTACATCGCCGTATCTGCTACAGCTGTGAGTGGGGTGCTTATAAGAGAAGAACGATCCGAGCAAAAACCCATTTTCTACGTCAGCCAGACACTGACCGACGCCGAGACCCGCTACCTCCAGATTGAGAAAGTCGCCCTAGCCGTCGTAATCCCGGCTCGCAAGCTGCGTCCGTATTTCAATCACATTCGATTGTGGTGCTTGCTACACTTCCGCTGCACTCGATCCTACACAGCCCGAGCCAATCCGGCCAGCTCGCCAAGTGGGCCATAGAGTTAAGCGAGTACGACATCGAGTATCGAAACAGATCGTCCGCAAAATCACAGGTGCTCACAGATTTTCTCATCGAACTTCCGGCCGAAGCGACGAACGAGCCAACCCCATACGAAGTATAGATGCTGCACGTTGACGGATCGTCGTCTAAACACGGCTCCAGAATAGGAATCCGTCTCACCTCTCCCACCAGAGAAATATTGGAGCAGTCTTTTCGCTTGAACATCCACGCCTCGAACAACGAAGCAGAATACGAAGCGTTGATCGCCGGCATACGACTAGCATAGAGAATCGGAGTTCGAAAGATAAGAACCTTTTGAGATTCACAGCTCGTAGCATGTCAATTCAATGGCAAATACGAGGCGAAGGACGGACAAATGGGAGCTTACCTCAAGGTGGTCAGAGAGTTGGTGCAAAAGTTCGACGAGTTCGAACTCACACGAATACCCCGAGGTGAAAACCTCGGCTGACGCCTTGGCAGCACTTGCTTCGACTTCAGACCCGGATCTCCGACAGACAATTCTAGTCGAATTCATAAAACGTCCTAGCATCGAAGAGGTAGAAGGAGTTCGGATGATAAACCCTCCCGAGCAGGAACCAGAAAACGACGAAGCAGTCGCTATGGATGAAGACGCCTCACCAGCCGAGCTGGAGTACGGCTGCGACAAAGAATGGCTCGGAGCCATCCGAGTGTATATCGCCGATGGGGAAGTACCAACCAACAAGTGGGAAGCCTGCAAATTAAAGGCTCAGGCCGCGCGATATGTTCTTGTCGACGGCGAGGTGTTTAAATGGTGATTTTCAGGACCGCTCATGACGTGAGTCGAAGGACCGGAGGCAAGAAAGATCATGCACGAAGTGCACAGCGGCGCGAGCAGAAACCATTCTAGCGGATGGTCGCTCGCGATCAAAATAAAACGACACGGTTACTTCTGGCCTACGATGGTCAAGGACTGCGAGAAGTTTACGGTGAAGTGCGAGAAATGTCAACGGCACGCGCCAACTATTCACCAACCTACCGAGCTGCTGTCATCGATCTCGTCACCTTATCCTTTCATGAGATTGTCGATGGATATTATTGGACCTCGACATCGATCAAAGCAGAAGCGCTTTCTGCTCGTCCTCACGGATTATTTTTCTAAGTGGGTCGAGGCCTATTCGTACGCGAGCATAAAGGATGCTCAAGTCGAACACTTCGTCTGGAAAAATATCATCTGCAGACATGGGGTCCCCTACGAGATAGTCACCGATAACGGAACCCAGTTCATGTCGACGCGTTTCGAAGCTTTCTGCGAGAAATGGAAAATCCGTTTAAGCAAATCTATGCCAAGATATGCTCAAGGGAACGGACAAGCCGAAGCAGCCAACAAGACGATCCTAGACGGTCTGAAAAAGAGGCTCGACGCCAAGAAAGGACGATGGGCAGATGATCTCGAAGGAGTCCTTTGGTCGCATCGGACAACTCCGCGCCGAGCCACCGGAGAAACTCCATTCGCTCTAGTCTATGGAGCGGAATGCGTAATGCCAGGTATTCGACGAAGACTTCTACTGGGACAAGAAGGCTTGAATCACTTAATGATGTTGGACAAACTTGATTTGATCAACGAAAGGCTCGACCAGGCTCTAATCCGAATTCAAAACTACCAACAAGCGACGGCGAGATACTACAACAAAAATGTCCGCAGTCGAAGATTTAAAGAAGGAGAGCTCGTCCTTCGAAACATTTTCCAAAACACTGCCGAGAAGAATGCAGGAAAGCTCGGAGCAAACTGGGAAGGTCCTTACAAGATTACAAAAGTAGTTTGCCCAGGAGTCTACGAACTTGCGACGGTAGCTGACGAAGCAATTACAAAATCGTGGAATGCAATGCACCTGAAGAAGTATTATCACTAAGGCTACAACACGGTCAACATGAACTACGGGACGGCTTGATCCCTGCAAAGAATACATAGGCAGCCCGTCCTCGGACGGGTTCAGCTGTCCCTCCTCCTAAAAAGGGGGGGGGGGGTGGGTACGTATACACATACCTTCATTTAACTCTACAATTTTAGCTCGTCTACCGTCTCTAGGAACATTGCCACTTCGGCCAATTTTCTGTTCGTTTTAAATCAGCTACTTATTTCATGTTCACCTCGGAATTCTAATTCGTTCATTGTCGCTTCGGCTAGTTTCTCATTCGTTTTAAACCAGCTACTTATTTCATGTTCACCTCGGAATTCTAATTCGTTCATTGTCACTTCGGCTAGTTTCTCATTCGTTTTAAATCAGCTACTTATTTCATGTTCGCCTCGGATTTTTAATTCGTTCATTCATCACTTCGACAAGTTATCGTGACTTGATCGCCTCGGACTTTCACTTGTCCTTGTATCCACTTTGGCAAACTAAGTCTCCAAACACCTCGCCTCGTTGATGGCCACAGCGAGGCAACAGTCACAAAGTTCTCTAAATGGACTTTTAACCACCTTTCCTAGGACGAGGGTGCAAGTTACATCCTCCATGGATTAAAATCAAGCGCGTTATACAAATTTAAGACCGAAAACGTATCGGTCACCAAGGTTCGTCATCGTACACGAGATTATGAGTCGAGACTACATCGCTTTCTCTAAAACCAGAACGAACCCTTAAAACCCGGCTAAACACATTCACCCCCTCGGGAACGCCGGTCTATAATCAAACTTTGATATCGTCTCAGGACGTAGACCTCGGCAACGGGAGATCCAAACTTAGCGCTTCAAACGGCCATAGACCAAATCCGATCTGAAATGCCTCACACTTTTTCTCTCTTTCCTAACTCAAACGCCTCGACACTAACGATGGAAGGCACAAAGGAACTTTAGTTTCTTTTAAGAGTTACCTAAAACGAAGACACTCCACGAATCAACTCCCAGCTCGGGATTTAGACTTAAACAGAATCCTTAACAACTTGTCCCTTAGCCCGTTTTTCTATCGATCTTTCGTAAACAGTTCGGCCAGGGAAGCAATCGAAAGCATTCCCGACACAGCTCGATAATGATAACTCGTTCCAAACAAACAGTTTTCGTCAAAAAAATTCAATCAAGAACAAACGCATCAAATCCAACAAAAAAAACGACCAAGGAAAAGATGAATATAACCATAGCCAAATCAATAAGTCAGGTGGATAAAGCCATCCAGGCATCAGTTACATACAAAGTTCGAGAAACAGATAAAGTCATCCAAACCTTAAGTACAAAAACATATAAGACAGAAGATATAAGGGAAAAGGAGAGAATCAAGCCGCGGACTGCGTTCCACGCTCGGCAAGGAGGTTCGAGAGGGCTGGCGTACCCGCATTCGATCCGGTCGGATCTACGACACCCAAGTTGGCCGCTGTCTCTTCGAGTGGTTCGTTACCAAGACTGGTGTCTACAGAGTCTGGCAACACGGGCGAGAAGACCAGCTCACCTCGGATCTCAGAGGCAATGCGCTCATACGCCTCGTCGTCGGTGTACTCGCTCTCCCAGGTCTTTAGCTTCGCCTCCTCGTCGTCGAGCGTTGGGGCGTCTGGTTTCCTTAGATCGGCAATCATCGCAAGGTTGCCCTTGATTTGCCCCAGCTCGTTCTCATTGGTTTTGGCCTTCTCGAGCTTGGCCAAACCTTCCTACACCTTGGCAAGGCGCTCCTGAAACTTAGCCGTCAGCTCTCGCCTCGCTTCCTTCTTCGCACGCTTGACCTTGGCGTTAAACAAGGCATCCTTGGCCTCGATACACCTTTTGAGCAACGCCACCTCGACGCTTTTGGCTCTCCTAGTTTCCTCGAGGCGAATCACCGAGGCGGAAACCTTGTCGATATCGGCATGAAGAACTATCTTCTCCTCTTCTAGCCTCGACAACCTGGTCATTGCCTCGTCCAGCTTCCCCTTCGCCGCCGCAGTCTCGTTCCGAGCCTCGTCCAGGCGACGTTCGACCTTAGACAGGTCCGCCTCGTATTCAACCATCAGCTCGTTGATGGCCGCTACAAACTGCAAAGAATAATACGCGTTAAACACTTAGTAAGAATTTGATAAAATAAGGAGAGTAAACAGAACATACCTTGGTACCGCGCTGTGCCATCGCGCCATACGACCTCGGTCTCCTCAGCTTCTCAAGAGGAGGAAGACGCGTATTCACATTGTTAACACGTGCAAACATCATTGCCGAGGCGTCAGGGTCGTCGACGACCAGTTTGCGTGAAGCGGGATCACCGGGAGCCTGCTTGCGCTTCTTCTTGGCCGGCTCGTCCTTTTGGATAGCTATGCCCTTCCCCTTATCAGCGGCCGAATGTTTTCGGCCAGAATCATGCTTCTGTAAAACCCAAGTCGGGGGCCTCGATGACTTTGGAAGAGCCAGAATAGCCGAGTTGGAAGGAGTTTTACTCCGCGCCGCAGAGTCATCTTTGGGCGCCTCGGGAATAATTTCGCCCGGTTCCACCTCGGGCGCTGCTTCTTTCTCGGTTACCTCGGTAACGTTTGCCTCCACGGCTCGGCGGATCATCCTGAGGGACAGCCTCAGCCTCTGTTTGAGCTGCCTTAGCGGCTCGTCTCGCAGCTTCTTCTTCTTCACGCCTTTTCTTATCTCTAAGTGTAATGATCACCATTTTCTCCCTTGTGTCTAGTGAGGAATTTGAAGACGAAGAGCTAACAGGAACTCCGGCAAGAATGGCTCGTGCTCTTTCCACTCTCTCGAATGAAAAATGCTTCCTCCAATTAACTCTCCGAGCCGCAAGAGAATCTCGGACAACAAAGAGGTCGTCGAGAATTGGGGGAAGAATGTTCTGAACTGCAAAAACAACACAAAAATAATCAGCTCAGTAAGGGAAGATTATACAATAACAGTTCGAGCCGAGGCAAAGCTTCGGATCGGCTACCAAGTGGTCCCCAAGCGGTCTTGGTTTTTTGAACGTAATCCTCGCCAACTGACGCCTCGTTCACCAAGACATAGAAGAAGCGCTCGGTCCAAAACTGATCCTTGCTTGGAAAACCACCTATGATCTGGCGGTTGGACTTGTTGGAGATGTAAAATCTGTCTCCCTTCGGAGCTTTTCTGATCTCCAAAAAGTTTAGCAGGTGATTCAGTTCGATATCGAGCCCGCATTCAAAACTTCAAACCAGAATACCGATCATGTGCCGCAGACCCCTCGGCATGATCTGCCCGATTGAGATCCCATGTTTCCAGAGGTACTCAAGGATAACTCCGCAGATCGGGAACCAGAGAAAACAAAGCTCAAAGAACGCCTCGTACAGAGTAAATTGATTCTCAGGGGGTTTGTCGGCTCGATCATTCTTCTCCGGAAGGACGAACTCTACCGCCTCGGATATCCCGAAATGACATCTCAATGATTCGAGTGAGTCAGGGGAGGAGAGCGTAGAGCCGGGCGGGTCAGGTTTTTGTCTTTTCACTCGTTTTGGCTTCCCTCGCCCAGATGAAGAAGCACCTCGGGATGCCATGAGACGTTCTAATTCACGCTTCGCCTCGAACAGATCAGAGAGAAACGCTTCCTCCTAACAGATCAAAGGGAAACGCTTCCTCCTCGGCTTTCACTGCGGCATGATTAACATCTTTGTCGAGAGCAGGACCTTGAGGGCGGCTCGTCGAAACCGACGGCTCGTCATCTGGAGAGCGAGCGCCTCGTTGCTTTCGGATGAACGGTTGGAAGGGCTCGGCGAGATAGACGCCTCGGAGGACCCTGTTACACCTCTCGCCTCGGCGTCTACACGGCTCGGCCCGTAGTTAAAGAGTGAATCTAATGAATCGTTGGAATGGTTCGACATGATTTACAGCTGGAACGGAAAATACAATTCTACCCGGCCAACTTTCGTCAGAAAAAGATCTGAGGCGGCAGAGACCTCGGAACCCTAGCCGAAAAATAAATAAACTAGAGAGAGATAGAAGAGAGAAGGGTGAGCTACCTTTTAGTGAAAACGAATGGATCTGAAGATTATGAGAAGGAACGAAGGAGCTCACCTATTTATAGGAAAACCAAAGCGCATGAAGTCTGCGTGGACCTCGGGATGGCGCAAAGGTGTTCAATGGGGGCGCGTGAAGTCCGCGGCAAATGCGTAACCTCTTGGCGCGTCCATCATACACGCCAACACTCAAGATGCCTTGGAAAGAACTAACAGCCGCTATGTCCAGATAAACCGAGCACATGACACAGCTATGGTTATCTGAGAATATCTTATCAAGCTGTGCGAACCGAACCATGCTTTGTCGATACGGCTCGACAATTTCATAAGAACGCCTCGTCGTTATCCTTAACGCGAAACGGCTCGGCAATCTTCTTCGAAAAAAACACCTCATCGTTTATTCGGCTCGGCATAACTTTCACAAAACGCCTCGTCGTTTATGCGGCTCAGCATAACTTTCACAAAACGCCTCATCGTTTATTCGGCTCGGCATAACTTTTACAAAACGCCTTGTCGTTTATTCGGCTCGGCATAACTTTTACAAAACGCCTCGTCGTTTATTCGGCTCGGCATAACTTTCACAAAACGCCTTGTCGTTTATTCGACTCGGCATAACTTTTACAAAACGCCTTGTCGTTTATTCGGCTCGGCATAACTTTCGCAAATTGCCTCGCGTACAATCCTTTTCCTAAAGATATCTCATCAAGCAGCACAGATTGCGCCACGCCTCGTCGTTAACAAAACGGCTCGACATTATCTCTTATCTTGACACGCCTTGTCGCTAAACATAGCTCGGCACTACGTAAACACCACGTCGTTGAAAACAGCTCGGCGTTATTTTTGTCAAAGTAACATCATCTTTTGAACGGCTCGGCAATTTCCTTCGAACAGCCTCGCCGAAGACGGCTCGCTTGTATGCGTCGTCAAAGAACGGCTTGGCATTTTTATTCCCAAAACGCCTCACCTGGAATTGTTCCGCGACGGTTTAACTCGATATTTTATCCCATGGCTAGGAGCAATGAACCTCGTCACTCTCGTCTCCGAAACTGATGAGCTGGGGGGCTAACTGTTGAGGTCGGTTTCACTCCAATCAGATAAAACCATTTCGAAAATGACCAAGTACCGGAGAAAACCAATTAGGCAAGAAGGAACAGCTGCCCGCCAGATACGAACCGAGCCGACCCACAAAACAAGTGGGCCGAGCTGTGCTCACCAAGACGAGTGGGCCGAGCCGTGGAAAAAGATAGATGGGCCGAGCCGTGAGAGGAGTAGGCCAAACTCAAGTGGGCCGAACCGTGAGGAGAAAATGGGCGAGCCGCGTTGATGCGGTGCTGAGTGTGTCAACTACGTGAGGGAACAAGTTTTACCCTTAACAAAACAAAAGAAAGCCGCAAGTGCACAGCTAATCTGTTGTAGTATTTAGGGATCGAATCCACAGAGATTTGTGTGCCTGGTATTCTTCTACGGTTTTTAACTTTATGTCTAGACTAAATTGGTTTTAAAGGTTGGTTGTTTTTCTTGAATTAAACTAAAGGAAAATAAAGCAAATAAATCTATCCTAAAAGGCAAGTAAAGAAATCGAATGAAAGGCAGTAGAACAAGTAAAATATCGAACTAAACAAAAATAAGGCAAGTAAAATATCGCATGAAAGGTAAATAAAGCAAGTAAATAATGAACTAAGGAAATTGAAATGCAGGTCTAAGAAAGCAAGTAAAAATCGATGGGAATTGTAAACTATGGCTAAAAACGCTGAGCTTTTGGGAACTCTAAGGGATCATAATCGGTTTTAACATTAAGGTAGATAGATTGGGGATTGACGGATTACAATATATGGGTTCTAGAGAGAGAGTACGGCGGTATGACTACGTCACTGTCGTGATCATAACCAACTGTTTCTCGCAACCCTGACCAGTAGGTTTCCACACTGGCCCTGGAAGGGAGAGAACGCAAGAGCTGCATAAGACTCGTCAATACTCACGATCTCGCCGCTGGTAGGTTTCCACTCCGACGGAAAAAAATCGCCTGTTTCATTCTAGGGCTGATACTTAATGAAAACTTTCGCAACACTAACTATCTAGATCAGATACTAGGTGATCAATCAAGCATACATGCAATAAGAACAAGAATAAACAGAGAACATGTCGAAATCCCAGATCTATAAACCTAGATGTCTTAATCGATTATGAGAGCCCCTTTCGGGAACCCTAAGCCCAACTCGGGATCTACTCAGACATGGCTGAGTTCGACATCATCATTGGTTTTAATAAAAGTAATGAAAAACAGTAAAGAAAAGGGATAAAGAAAGCTTCTCTATTGAAGAACTCGGACTTGAACAATCTTCTACAAAAATCTCATAAAAACGGCTAAAGGAAAAGGGTTTCTGTAAAGTATCCAAAAGCTCTCTTAAAAACGACCTAAATGACATGTATTTATAGTCTCCAATACTCCATGGTCTCTAGGGTTCCGGAATTGAGGCTGGGAATGACTTTGGGCTTCAGATAAGTGGGCTTTAAGTCGGAGCTTGAATGCCGCGGTCGGAAGTGCTGTGACCACGGCAATTGGCTTGTTTCCCGCGGTCGGGAAGCTTCTGACCGCGGCAAATAGCTTGTTGGCCGCGGTCGCGTGAGCTGCTGGCCGACTCCGCGTGGCTTCGGGGTTAATAGAATATCTTGAGATCCAACCATTGGAATGTCTCCAAACCAAGTGCATTTGAAAGCTGGTTGATTCTTCTATAAGTTGTCCAATTTTGAGGGTGATCAGACGGTGAGAAGGTCTTCGTCTCTCCATGAGAGTTCTGACGGTCTGCATTTATCCAAAAGAGTCTTTTTGTTCTATTTTATGCCTCTTTATTCCAAATTACCTGAAAAGTCTTTTAAAATCCGGAAACATAGAAATTCTTTGAAAACCTTTGAAAATGGAGTAAAAACACCTGTAAAAGATATTAAAATGATCCATAAAAATGGTCAAAATCCGGTGTTATCAACTCCCCCAGACTTAGTCTTTTGTTTGTCCTCAAACAAAACAAAGGCTAAATCACGGCGAGAGGTTTGAAAACGCAGGAACTAAACAAAATCTCAGAGACCAAACTTCTAGACCAATATCAATCAGTATGCATCAATCGGGAATAGCCTAGAAAATTCTCACTAGCAATACAGGCATAACTAGTCCGTTAATCCGTCATGCAGAAATCTATGCACTAAGATCTAACTTCCAGTCAACTAGCTCTTAACATTCATTAAAAATCTCGGTGGTTCTCATCAAAGAAAATCTAGGCAAGGCAATCTAGGCTAGGTGTAAAGAAGGATTATTTTGGGGTTATGGCTTTTTGTGTTTAAGGGTTACCTGAAGATCTGGAGGATGCAGGACATTATGCAAAACCGCAAAAGAGAGTGAAGCTGTTGGTATCCACAGTTTTCAGTCACTTTCTTCTTGACATAGATTCATGGTCTTCTTCCTCAAGTTCTCTCCAAACTCCCCCAGACTTAGATTTTTGTAAATCTTTCAAAACAATAGCTCCTTAAACGAATAGTGGTTGCTCATTGCTCCACAAATTTCGACAATCTAAGACTCATTAGGCTTTTTGTTTCCCTTTCTCTTTTCACGTTTTTTTTTTTTTTTTTTTTTTTTTAAAGAAAAGGGAACACCTTTAGATATAGAGTCTTAGAGAGCACGAATTTACCAGTTAATATCTGTCTTGTAAAGCTTTATTATGTTTCTGATACTCTTCCTTCCCAATTCCTTTCAGTCTCTTTTGCGAGTGACTGAAAACTGCGTCGCTCCTCTTCTCTCCGACGTTTTTGCACATATCTGCTGCTATAAACTCAAGAGAGAATGCATGAGGATTGAAAACAAAGGTTTTGGGTTTAGGGTAAGGTACCATATAAAGATAAACTGGTCATCTAGGACGACAAAGAGTGGTAAAAGTGATGGTAAAAGACGTCCTAGATGTGTATGTCGATGCCTGCCTAAAATCAATGATGAGAAAATTAGATATCAATATTAAGTCCAAATATAGTGAGCTAGTATATCCTGTCAGAAAGAATCTCCATGAATAGAAGTCCTCTGGTGGGAGTTCGTGGTGCAAGTACTCTAGCTACCGCCTAGTCTAGTGCTAACCACAAATGAGCTATCATGCATAGTGTAGAAGTGTGCAGGTCTAAATCATCATAGTTTTGCGTCAAACATTCCTGAAAAATACTTAATGTCGAATAGGTTACATATTAAAATTTAAAAAGTACTTGAAATTTAAAAGCAAAAGCAGGAAAATAATCAGTACGGATAGACATCCTCCCCCAGACTTAAATCACACTGTCCCCAGTGTGAAAAAGTTGGTGAGAAGATGGTGAATAAAAGCAAAATAAGATAAAAGAAAAGAAAATGATGATAGAACCGTGATGGTAGTGAAGTGCTGGTCAATCACTCATCCTCTGAAGTGTCGTCTGTGAACTGGTGCTGCTCCTGTAAGAAGGTGACAACGCGCTCAAAGCGTCGTCCCTGTCTCTCAACTCTGCGCTCCAGATTGGAATGAGTGTGTGATGATGTAGATGATGAGGCGTGGCCGGTCGGAATGGATGACTGAAAATGAGCACGGGCCGCAGCTGCATCACGCCTCGCCTTGGCCACTATGTACTGGCCAATGGTGAATGGTAATCGAGGTACGGATGGCAGAAAATCATCGGATTCCGGAGTCCATCGAGGGCGTCCTCCGTTGCACAATCTCGGTATAGATAATGAAGGTAAGCGGACTCGGTGCTCCTCAGTGCGAGTGCAATATTTGTAACCAAACCTGTCTGGATCGAAATCGGCGCGAGAGATAGTGTGATCGAGAGAAAGATAAAGTAGATCATACCAGACATCGGGAAGT